TTGGTGCAGCAGCAATTCAATTCAAATTCAAAAATACTTTATTGATCCCAGAGGGAAATTTGGTGTTGTTGTAACTCATTTAACTAAAAACTTATTGTAGATGCTGATGGCTGTGGGCAGGAAAGATCTTCTGTAGCGGTCTGTATTACAGCGAAGTTGAAGAAGCCTCCGACTGAAGACACTTTGTCTTTCTATGACAGTCTGATGAAGAGAATGGTCAGGGTTGTCCACAATGTTCTTGATTTTATGTAAAATCCTTCTTTGCACCATCATCTCCAGAGGTTCCACAGTCTGCCCACAGCAACTGCCAGTCCCAGATTCCGGTGTGCTGAGAGTCAGATGGCCTTTCCACCTACCAGACTGGTGTAACCTCACCACCCCTAAGAAATGTAAATCCAGTGAAGTCAGGTCCAGTAGGACTCCAAGGGCATAAATTAACAACAGCATTGGCATAATAACTGTAGGCCTTCTATTACAGGTGGTGTTACCCTAAAAACTGTTGCGACATATTATGAGCATTAGATCAGATTTGTTCCTGTTTGGACGGGCCAGAGGATAGAGACATTTATGTGTAACTGCACAACGTGTATTTCTTGCATTCATTGGCTATGTTAAATCAAGCTGGGATACTGTAGATGTGAGGTTGTGGCAAGAATCGACTTGAAGCGCAGTCTTCAAAATGCAAAAAAAGGCTTTATTTAAAGAAAAAGGCTGGCGAGGCAGCTCAAAATTCCTCAAAAAATCTCTCAGGAAAAACACCAAGAACAGAAACACAAGAGGATATCTCGCTGACTGAGGGGAAGCAGAACAATGAACTTACAGGGAAGTGAAGAAAAGACACAGGTATAAAGGTGAACAAATGAGGGAATGATTGGAAACACCTGGGGAGGAAACATGAGGATCAGGTGCGCCTGGGAGGAAAACACTGAGACAGGTATACACAGTGAAACATAGAAATACTAGAAAAACCAAGATAAAATTAACACAGACCATGACCGTAGCATTACCACTTTGTAACTTTGCCACACATGATCACATCAAAAACACTTTATTGGAATACCAACACAAGTGAAGCATTTCAGTCATTAAAGTCTGTTGGAAAAATCTTTCAGAAGATATCCAGCAGAATATTTGTGGAATTTAAACTGTTAAACATGTGCATTTAATTGATTTTAAACAAAAAAAATCCAACTTCTAAGTCTAATATATTCCATTTAAACTCAGTAAATTGTTTTGTGAAGGACATTCTAAAACCCTTAATATTCATCTTTTTGATTAATCTCAGAAAGAGCTTTACTTTGTGATTTTGTCCTTAAGAAAAAAAATAAAAAATTTTCAAGCGTGAAACTGTCTAGTTGAAGATTTACACTTTTAATTAGGAATTTTGACATGAAAAATGCTCATTGTTGTTTTAGTTGTTCATTATTCTATCCACTGTCTGTTGGCAGCAAAGTTGTCCCAGACCATGATACTACCAACATATCGAACAACAAACACAGGGGGTTAAGGCAGCTTTTGAATATGTGGCTAAATGACTCATTATTTATCTTTTCTGATTGTTCCCTTATCCTCTGAAAGGCTTTTTTTACTTATACTGTCAGTTAATTTCTTCTGTTTAGTTTGGTGTTCAAGTCTACGAAGACCAGGTCTATTTTTATGGTTGTTCTGTGGGTTCTGAAGTGGTTCCCAAACTTTTCGGTTTTCATCTAGCCTGGCTCTTGCCTTCCTACGCAGCTCCGCTCAATTCTAGTTTCCCTTCACTGCTCCGTCTGGGACTTCTCCCATTGATAAGGATTTCGCTGGCAGATTTTTAGCCGGGCCAATCAGAGAAGAGAACGTCAATTTTCAGCGCAATGTCTCTTGTAGTTTATTTTACCTGGGCCAATCAGCAAACAGAAGGAGGAGTTTTGAACGACGTTGATTTTCTGCGCAGTGTCTACTAGTTATTTTAGCATACAGCAGTGGAGGAAGTGAATGAAGCCAGTCCGTGTTGATAAGGCTTCCAAATTAAAATAAATTTGTCTGACAAAGCAGCAGCTCTCATTTACAGTCGTCTCGTTCGGCTCGGTGTATTCCTCCTCTCAGTAGGGTTGTTTACAGCACACGCGATTTCCGGTTAGCTTCTTAGCTTAGCTTCCGTCACAGCGACAACACACATATGCTTCAGCAGAGGTCACACATCCTGTAAGAATCCCTTCTCTATGCATCAAGTCCAGACCCTTGTACGAAGTAAAGTGAAGGGCAGGGTCTGGTTTTAACCAGGCTAGTTTTCATCCACAAAATAACTGTCAGACACATTCAACCTTAGCTTTAACTGCTTGACATAAACAAGCATCGCTGTTTAAAGGCGACGTGTCAGCAAAATCCCTATTTTTTAGCTGTTAAATACATTTTGTTGTGTACTTGGAGTGAGTGCCAAAAGTTTAAATTTAGTCTCTCGGATCTCTCCCATTTTTACATTCATTTTGGAGTGTATTTTACAGTCCGTTCAGTTTTCTGTATACTTTGTTACGTTTCAAACAGTAACGTCACAGTATTTGCTGCAGAACGTCTGAATATAATCATAGACTTACAACGTGTCAAATGGTAAATGGTCTGTACTTATATAGCACTTTTTTATCCATCCAGGACACTCAAAGCGCTTCACACTACAATCTGTGTCCTCATTTACCCATTCACACAGCACTACTAGATCTCCTACAAAGCTAACATGAACAATCATGTATGGAGACTAATCAGTGCCAATCACATTCATACACTGACAGGACACCCATCAGAGGCATTAGGGGAGAAGTGTCTTGCCCAAGGACACAACAACTGAGACAGCTGGATGGGGGGATCGAACCAGCGACCTTCCGGTTCCAGGACTTCTCCCCTAACCACTCTGCCACAGCCGCCCCTACTTAGTGAATCCATGGTTCTGCAAGTTTGTTGCCTCCATTCTCTTCTGGTTCTGGGTCAGACTTTGGCTCCAACATGTAAGGCTGGATGATCAAGTCTTCCATTGTTGACATCTTTTAATACATTTGTAAATAAAAGTTTCTGCACCACTGGTAAGTGAGCAAAAACATTCTAAAAGTTGTTACCTTACATATTTTGTAGCATTGTTTGTGGATTTGCACGAGGGTCCCCAGCCAGAAGCTAATGCTGTTTGGGGGTCCATGGCAGGAAAAAGTTTGGGAACCCGTCAACTAGAATGTAATTACAGACCGTCGGACAAAACAGGTTTTATGTTAAAATGACCTGCTGTACATCTTTTTATTTAAAAAATTTTTGGACTGTACTTGTATAGCGCCGTTCTATCCAACCAGCATACTCAAAGCTCTTCGCACTACAATCTGTGTCCTCATTTACCCATTCACACAGCACTCTATTAGGTCTCCTACAAAACTAACATGTACAATCCTCAATGGAGACTAATCAGTGCCAATCACATTCATACGCTGATGGGACACACATCAGAGGCATTAGGGGTGAATTGTCTTGCCCAAGGACACAACAACTGTGACAGCTGGAGCAGGGGATCGAACCGGCGACCTACTGGTACCAGGACAACTCCCTTAACCACTCCGCGACAGCCATGTTACATCTACAGACTGAGTGACTGAGCGCGTGCCACTGCGCTTATGCATCACCCGAGCAGAAGAAAACGTAGTTCCTTCCAACCACACATGGTTTAGACAAGATTTGAATAGTTTAGTTATTTTCCACTATTTTCCAGTTAATGATATATATTACCTGAAATGACTGACGTATCAAAGTATTGATATTTGGATTTTAGTATCAATTCTAGGGCAGGAAGTTCTGGTATCGGTAGTATTGATGTTTCAGTATTGATCTGCACATCACTATTCTCAGAACAGGGGTGAAAGAGGGAGCTACACTAACAAGGAATTCAGACCAAAGCATTGTAGTTCCACTTTATACAGACTACTACTGAATGATTTAAATGTGAAAAGGAAGCAGAAAGCAGAATATGTCTACTTTAATCTAAACAAATTCATATTGGCAACTGGCGTCAATGATCTTTCTAAGAACCCCTCCCCTCCCCCCCACTCCTCCCCACTTAAGGTGCCGTTACCTCAAGTTCCTTCCATTGACTTGTGCTTGACAATATTTTTAATTGATTATCATGGAATTTTCATACATTTGTCTGTAGGTGTTGTAAATTCCCCAGTATTTCTGCATTGTGTTTTGTTCAGGCCTGTTTAAGACTTTAATTTGTATTTTACATCAGGCATCTTGTTGGACAGCTAATTAGTATTTTTACGTCAGGCATCTGGTTGGACAGCTAAGGGTTCCTTGGATATATAGGCTGTGTCCAAAACGGCAGGACGGGTCCTCCGAAGGTCGAATTTGTCGGCCGCATACGTCACAGC